GGGGGCAGGGGCCCGGGCCCGGGCCCGGCAGCAAACACGGTCAGCAGCACCAGCCCGTTGCAGAGCACAGAGAGCAGCGCGATGGCCCACACGGCCAGGCGGATGCCCCAGCTCTCAAAGAGGTGCTCGCAGGGCTTGAAGGGGCCTGCAGGAGAGAGAGCTGGCGTTATGCCCGGGCCGAGGCTACTGGGATCGGCCGAGGGGCCTCTGTGTCCAGGGGACCCCCAGTCAGAGGGAGATAAGTATAGCTCCCGCCCGCGAAGTAACTCCTGCTTGCAGTGTGGAGACATTGGGGACATACACAGCTCGCCTTCTGAGGACCTGCAAACAGGGTGAACACGACCCCTCCTCCGGATACACGTAAAAAGTAGAAACATACGAGTATACACACTAAGTCGGTACAGTGCAAGCCCAGGTGTTGAAATAATGTTATGTAAAGCAGTCTTTCCATCAGAGCACCACGTGGAAGGATGGACGAGACAGACTGAGAGGAGGGACATGCAGGAGAGGACGGGGCATTAGAACTGGGATTGTGGCTGAGGCTCTGCCCAGTGGTCACTAAGGACTCGGCTGAGCAGATATGGTACCAGGCTGGCGCTCTGCTGCTCTGTGAGAGGTGCAGGGCACATTTCCAGTTCCTTGTTCCTTGCTCAGTCAGTGCTTGCGAGGTAAACAGGTGACCAAAATACAGACTCCTGGTTTTCCGATCTCACTGCATTAGATGGGTGAGATCCTGGTGTTTTCCATCTCTTCCTCCAGAGTCTGCTCTTAAATCACCCTGCAACTTAGGACCTACTCTTTCTTCATTTCCTTTGGCTTCAGACTCTTGTTTCTCAGTGTATTTCTAGGAAGCTTGGGAATTTGAGAGGCTATTTGAGTGAGAGCTATTTTTAAAATATGTTTTCTGATTATGAAATAATAGATGGTAATTGTAGAAAAAAATTTAAATATAACAAGGAAAAACTAAAACTGCTTATGACTTCATCTTCCAGAGAACTCATTGTTTTGGTATGTTTCTAAAAATACATATATATTGCTTCTTGGCCTTTTGGCTAAGATCAAGTGTAGTATCTAAAAATACATATATACCTACTGATATTTAAACTAAGCTGGTCTTTAAATAGCCTTTTATTCCCTTTAAGTCAAAGTTTGTTAGGCATACTTTCCCATCTCCTCAAAAATATTTTCAATGGCTGTGCAATAAATACTCTACCATATGATGTACTATAATTTATCTGGCCATTTGTATGATCTATTTTAAAAGCAAGTTTAAGTTGGACCTTGTTTTTTGGAACTTCCTCTTATACCTCACTCCCTGTTGATTACTGGTTTTCATAGGTGAAATTTCTGTGGCCGTGTGAATGAAGCATGTGGGTTTCCAAGAAGAAAAGAGAAAAAAAAAAAACACCGCCTGCTTCCTCTAGGTTGGGTCAGGGCTCTGGTCTGAGCTGGCACTGGGCAGTGCACTGTTGTCCCTAAGTGCTAAGAGCTGGTGTTGGGCAAGGTCAGGCCAGCACCACCAGCTTCAGAGAGGAAAAAGGGAGAAGGTCAAGTGGCCTGAGCCAAAGAAAGGTGGCTGGAGGTGGGATGAAATCGAAGCAGCAAACTTTGCCACTCTCTGTACATAATGAACAGTTCCTGGCCTGGCTTAAGCAGGACGCTGCTGGCTTCTGGCGTAGCCTGTCAGCATTTTATACGCAAGGAAGGGACCTCTTCACTGTAAACATCTTAGGTTGAATTGCACTAAGGAGAAAGAGAATTCTCTTACTTAATGGATTAAATCTTAATGGATTTAGGTTGGACTCTATAGCTCTTCCTTCAGCTGTAATGGTTAGTTAGATAGCACTGTAAGGTTCATGCAGAGACACTGTGGAGTTTTTCTGCCTGGAGCATTTTAATAAAGAGAATGCATTCTTTCTGGGATGGAGCAGATGACATTTCAGAGTCCCACTAAGCTCTAGGATTCTGTGATGTGGGTCTTCAGCTGAAGGAGTGCTCAGAAGCAGCCCCACATGCTTCCCTGGGCAATGGGATCCAGACTTCCTTTCTTGCTTCTCCATGATGGTGGTTTTCTCTGGCAGGCATAACCTCTAGGTGGCTCATCTATCAAGATTGCCTGACTCCCCCTCACTCAGCCCCACTACTCCTCACAAGTAGTCAAGGGCGAGAACCCCAGCTCCTTCCCCAGGCCCTCCCCCAGCAGGTGGGCAGCAGTCCCCAAAGCTTGCTAGCCGAACTGCCCTGTCATCTAGGTGGCAGGGTGCCCTGTCCTCAACCCCTTCCCCTGCTCCCCAGGTCATCTTACCAGGAACAGGACTGCATTGGACACTGAGGTGTGGCTTTGAGTCCTCCATCTCCAGCTGTAGCTCGTCCAGGTCCAGGTCGTCTGAGAGGGGAGACAAGACAGAGGCTCAGGCCTTTGGCCCCACCTTTCTGGTAAGTCCCAGATGTGCCTCTCACTAACTCTGCTGCGTACTGGTTGTCTGGCAGCTCTGCATATCTCTTTCTGCCCTGGGGTGTAAATATCCAGTCATCTTCTATCCACGTGTGGGTTATGTGCATTGGTTCTGTACAGCACACTTTTCACACGGACCTGTTCTTTCTGCTACTCAGCATTCTCCTCCGCCTTCTTCTGGCTTAAGTCTGGAAGTGCTGCTAGTGGCTGCCCTGACAACAGGAGCTAGAAATCACAGGGTTCTCCACTCTGGCCAGGGTGGTGTTGCAATTCCGTGTCCAGTTTTGAATGCTGCATTAAGGAGATCAGTGGGCTGCAGTGTGTTGACAGGTTAATCAAGGAGAGTGAGGGAGTAGAAGTCATTTGTGTGAGAAATAATCAGAATTAACTGGGGGATATTTAGCTTGCAGAAGGCAAAGCTAAGTGAGGCTATTATGGCTGTCCAAGAGTTGAAAGCTTAGGTGTAAAGGAGACCCTTACTTGCTTTGTCGCAGAGTGTAGAACGTCAATGTTGGATGGTAGAAGATAGCAGACTATGGCTCAAATGGAGATGTTCTAGCTCTTCCTACCGAAAACAAGTTCCCACAATTAGCTGTCCAACAAAGGAACACCCCACCTTCAAGAGGTGTACAGTGGACCCATGTGGCTGAATGCAATGCCATCTATATTTGGGCACTGGGTGAGTGCAGGAGTCAGGATGAGTAAGACATGACCCCACTCTCGGGGAGTTTATGAAGACAACCAAGGAAACAAGTCATCATGCTACATCAGTGAATAGATTTACTTAACAAAGACCCGTGTTCCTCCTTAGTTTACTCTTCCTATGACTCTTCATCTTCGTGGCTGCATTGGCCTTCACAGCTGCCGTGGGAGGCAGGTGATGGACAGGGAAACTGAGGCTTATTGAAGTGGAGCTTGCCCAGGTCTAGCGACCAGTGAGCGACTGAACAGAATCTAAATGTAAATTTGTCTGACTATGGAGCCCAGATATTTTATTCATTCAGGGATGGACAGTTATTTGGGGAGATTAAAGAAAGGGAAGGATATAGGGAGATTTATAGATGCTTAAGCTGGGCATAGTTTGTCACTGGAGATGTTGAAACAGAAAATCCCCAACACGAGAGAGGGTGCTTCTACCCGGAGGCAGATTTGGACTAGATAACCATTAACGTTCCTTTCAATTCTAACATACGTATTTTCGTATTCATAATTGCAGGTTTGTTTCCACTTCTGGGGATAGAATTGAAGGCCTTGTGCATGCCAAGCAAACACTTCGCTCCAGAGACATATCCCCAGCCCCACTGCAGTATCCCTTAAACTAGGACTTGTGAACTCCAGGGGGTTATGGACATCTCAGGGGTTCATAAATTCTGTAAGAATTTTGAAAGGGTCGGAGACATAGTTCAGTGGTAGAGTACTGCCTATCATTGTGCAAGGCTTTGTGTTTAAACTAGCAGTACAAAACAATTTTTAAGATTGTTTTTAAAGAATAAAACTTAAGTTTTTTTAAGTCGGACTGGGAAAGTTATCTGAGGAATGGGTGGGGAGAAAGAATTGCTTATCTTTAAAAGTCGCCTCTACATTATTCAGGATTAGGAGAGTGCCCCGTGGCTCCTCCTCCATCCTAAGGGGATGGGTAGGTGACTCTGTTGCACTTGTCCCTGTCTTTGGCTGAGAGGTCTATTTCCTGCGTGGATCCTCCCTCCCCACTTAAAGGGGAAGCACTTTGAGTTGGTAGTTTTCCCAGGAGGCTGGAAGACTGTGGATCTGCGCTTGGCCTGGACAGCACCAGGGCGGGTAGGAGGCTGAGGTGTGCTCACAGAGTCCTGGCATTTCCTTCCCCCTCTACCTTTCATTCCATGCCCACTCTGTGTTCTAGAATGGAGCACAACAATTCTTTGAAATCACAACGCATGAGTGAGATGCAAGGGGTGAAACCCATAGTCTCTGTCTGAGGCTGGGAAAGTCACAGCCAAGGTGTTAAGTAACCACTTTTCAAACGAGGAGGAAATCGAATCTGGCCAGAGCAGCGGCTCCTGGCTTTTCTTCTGGAGGTTCAGCTGCTCCCACAGGAAGTGGGGGGGCCCTGCCCTAGCTCCCGTTACAGGCAGCAGGCAGCCCACGAGCTGGACGTCCTGTGGTTCTCCAAGACCTAAGCCCGGTGGAAAGTTTCACCTTGAGGAAGAAAAATTTCCACTCCTCCTTCCAGCCCCCTGAGGGAGTGTGCAGCAGACATCCGGGAATGTCCCCCGGGACAGCCGTCTGCTGGCCCAGCCAGCTGCTGGCCTTCTCCTCTTCCTCCTCCTCGTGTCCTGTACCCTCCCTGGAAGGTGCTTGGGGACACTGGGAGGGAGGCTCTCAGAGACCCTTCTGAGCATTTGCCCAACATTTGGACTAAGCCACAGAGATAATACATCTCTTTCGTTTTAAGATAAGGAAATTCTACACCATCATGAAATGTCTTTCTTGCATATTAAATTTGACTTTTCTTCAGCTTCTTCATTGAGATATTGTAGAAAGGAAGTTCAAGGCAGAAAAAGGAATCCAAGAAGCAGGGCTCCTGGTTTCTCTCCTATCTCTGCAAGGAGAGGAAAACATTCCTTTCCACCTTTTATCTAAGCATCACTTAGTAGATGACCCCTCAGAACTCCCTGGCTACCCAACTACAGTGTCTCCCTTTGCCTCAACTCTCTCACAAAAGATGGATCTGGCCCAAGGCTCTGTGAGGCCCTCTTGATCCCACAGGCCACAGAGGTGTCACTGATTCACAGGCAGACAGGAGGCACCTGTTAGCCTCCGACGGGCGAATCCCTCCAGCGCTCCTTTTGACTCCAGACCCTAGTGAAGGTTCGTCTTGATTGTGTTAACCTGACTGACTTCGGGATCCACCTAGGCCATCCGGGGAGTACATTTCTGGGTGTGCCTGGGTGGGTCACAGCAGCGTGGCCTTGGGGTCTATGGTTTCTGGCCTCTTCCTCTGGGGCAGGCTGTTTCCCTGCTCTGCTCCCAGCTGCCATGAACTAAGCAGCTTTGCTCCGCCATGACGTTCCTGATTTGGAGCTGGCTGACCACAGACTAAATCCCCTTAAAATGTGAGCCACATTAAACTTTTTCTCCTTTAACTTTGAACATCAGGTATTGTTTCCATCAATGGGGAAACTGATGGATATAAAGACATTGTAGGGGGGGTTTTATCTTTTCTGCAAGCAGGTTTCATTCAATCAGTTTAATGTAGTCCTACATTTGGCTCAAGGTGATGAACCAAAGAGTCCGTCTTCTCTGAAAACCCCCTGAGGCTGAAGGACTCCTGTGACCAGGGAGCACACAGAGAAGCAGTATTGACAAATGGGGAGCATAAGGAACTTGTGAGTCAAAGTCCAGGAGAGTGTTGAGCCATTGCTGCTGCTGTAGTTACCACTGTTACTCTTCCCCAAGCACCTCTAGGGCTTGGCCTTGGAGAGACAAATGTAAACACTGGCAGAGACCCTCCCAGGTGCCAAGCACCCCCTGTACCACCGCCACCACGGCTTCTCTCTCCAGCCCCTTTCCAAATCCCCCAAGCTTCCTCTCTGACTTCTGTCCACAGCCCCCCACTTGCCAGCCTGGGGCGCCCAGTCACTCACAGTGGGTCTCAGCTTGTCCAGCAAGGAGGCCCAGGGGCTTCTTTGGAGCCTCCTCCTCCTCCAGGTGGACGTCCTCAGCCTGCCACTGCCCAGAGGTTTTAGAGAAGCTGGCACAGACACCGTAGGCACAGCACTGGTAGGCGTAGGGCACCTCCAGGATCCTGGCCGAGGAGAAAAAGGCAGCCTCAGTGTGCCTGGAGTCTAAGACTTCAGTCTCAATGAAAAGAGCCCCAGTCCAAGAACCGAGCACTCGATTACCTGGCCTTCAACCCTACAGCTCCCTGTGCCCTGGGCCAGCAGCCTGCTGGGCTTTCTTTGTGAGAGCCTCGCAGCCTGACTCTGGTCTCTGAAGGACTCAGGATATATTCCAGTTTTCTCCTCATTCATTTTCGGGGACTGACATTGGGGAGAGAAACCTTCTGCCCAGCAGGCTCAGAAAGGACACAGAAACTTCTTTGAGGTTTCAGAGCACTCTGGTACTTTGCCCCCGCTCCCGGGCAGCAACTCTTATATTTAAGGAGGCAGGGATGCTCCTGACGACTCTTCACCCTTGCTCTGTGTGAGATTCACACCCTGTCTCCCACACTTTCTGGGCACCTCCGAGCTGGATTCGGTGCCCACCGAGGGTGAGGGCAGATACCTCGGGTTATCTCATTAGCCTGCAGCAGACGTGGCTTAGGCCACACAGACTGCACTGCTGCCCCTGCTGCACAGAGGAGGCCTGGATGTCATCAGCACCAGGGACTTGCTGTGTAGCTTATTTTCCACTCATCCGTGCCCTGGGTTCTGCCCTGATCCCAGGGGCCAGATGCTGCCCACGTGATGGTGGACAGCCTGGCTATGTGGAACCAGGCTCAGAGCGAGGAGGTCTAGGGGGGCTGGGGCCCTTCACACTGCTTCTCTCCTCGCAGGTGGTGTTGGGTGGGGGATGCTAAGAGACAGGAGGAAGGCAAGGCCTGTGCCAGACCGGGGGAGGCGGGCTCAGCCCTTCCCATGCAGTCTTGGCCACACTCTAAGCCTCCACACTCTTCTCGGAGGGAGGCCTGTGGCTTTCTCCCTGTCCCTCCACCGACCCTCCACCAGATCTCACCTCAGTTTTGGGAAACTCTCCTTGGAGAAGGCCTGAGACAGAGCCGGGTTCCCTTTGAGTTTCAGATGCATCAGGCCCCCAAGCCCGGCCAGGGGCAGGGTGCTCAGCTGGTTGTCTGTCAGGTCCCTAGGACAGTGGATGGTCAGGGTTATTGGCAGTCAGTGGGGTTGCTGAGGGGGCAGGGCTGTGCTGAGGGTGTGGCCAGTGTGCCTGGGATGGAAGCAAGAGGAGAGGAGCACAGGACAGAAGATGAGCTCAGAGAGAAGACGACATCACCCGCTGGGGGAAGAGGGCGGTCAGAGTTGTTAGAGGCACCTCTGTAACTCATTCATCCGTTCATTATTCATTCAGCAAACACTGGGTGCCAACTATGTACCAGGGACTGCTCTAGCTTAATACTAAGCCAACCCAATTTGAAGGTAACAACCCCACCTCCCCCAGCTCCCGTGCTCAGGTCTGAATCCTATCTCAGCACTCCCTGCCTGCCCCAACCCTACCCCAGGAGACCTAGCTGCTGTTTGCCTCTCTCCTGTCTCCCCTCGTCTTCTCTGATGATTCAAGAAGCCAGCATGGAGGATAGGACAGAGTTAGCTACAAGCGAGGATTGGGTCATTCATTTCTCCTGGCTGGGTCCACCTCACAGCCAGAGGTGAGGACATACGTGGTCTTCTACAGAAGACAGGTTAGAGGAAGCCTGGGCTCCAAACCAAACACCATGACCACAGACGCTGCGTCGTGGAAACAGCCCTGGAGGGGAGGCAGGAAACCTGGCACTGTCACCAACGCACTGTATAACCAAAGGGAGTCACAGGCCTGACTGAGTTCCAGTGCCCTCATGCTTCAATGGATAAAAATATCTGCCCTACGTATTGGCAGGAACAGAGCAAACAGGAGAGGGGCGATGGAGGTGAGGGTTTGCAAAGCTACAGTTCAGACCCAGAGAGCCACAGCCTGGGGAGGGGTCCTGTGCCACCAGGAGCTCTGGGCTCTGATGGTGGGCTTGAAGCAAGCTTCTGCCCCGGGCCTTGGAGACATCGCTGGAGAGTGAGGGGCTTGGGTTGGATGATCTCCGAGGCCAGGCTGGGGCGAGCCCAGAGGAGTCTTTGTGTTACCAGAAAGAAGTGGTGAGATGTGCCTTCAGAACACACAGCCTGGCAAGAAGCCATGGAGGACGTCAGCTCCTCTTTGGGTAGGAGCCTTTGTGCAGTGAACAACGCTCACCACAGTGCAGCCCCTTCAGAAGCCCCTCTAGCCCAGATATAATGACCATGGCGCAGCTTGGCCTGCTTCCTGTTTACATCCATGTGATTTAGAGGAGCCCTGGTCCCTGCTGCCCTGCAGAGTGACAGCTCAAGCAGGGGACCCTCAAGCACTCTGAGACCCCGGCTTCCATATCAGCCACCACCTTCTTGCACCGAGAAGGGGTGCCAAGCCCATGCACCCTATACTGGTGCACAGAGAGGACACAGAGCCTGGGGTGGGTGGGGGCAGGGGATGTGGGGAGGACTGGGTCTGCCAAGATGTTGCAGAAATTAGCAGATGATGTTCTGGAGCTTGCGGGAGGCAGGCTCTGTTTATCAGACTCCACAGTCTGTCAAACGGACTGTCGGAATGATTGATTAAGCCGGAGTCCATCTCCCTGGGATATGTGGTCACACACGGGTGTCCCTCCTCAGGGGTGGCCCCCCCTTCCCACTCCCACCAGCCCACAGCCCCATTTGGTCTCCGTGTCCTGCAGGAGAATTAGCAGGCACTTACAGCTTGACCAGGGAGCGCAGAGTGGAGAAGGCCTCCGGGTGGATGGACCGGATGGAGTTCCAGCTTAGGTCCCTGTGGACACAGAGCATGACAGGAGAGTGCGTGACAGTGACACGGGGAGGATGCACTGTTCCCAGTCTGAGCTCTCACATGGCCCCCGTCTGACTTGCCCCCAGCAGCAGTGAGTCCCTTAGCCTTCGGGGGACCTTAACCTTGGGTACCTACTGCTGCCCAACTCCCAGCCTGTTTGTGGACCTCAGAACAATGGCCTAATAGCTTGGCTCCTGAGTCTCACGGCCACCTAGGTCCCAGCTGGAGAAACTGCTTGTGGAGAAGCCATCCAGATGGGAAGATCCCTCTCCTGTGTGTGCTAGGGAAAGGGCTACAGAGCAGGGAGGTGACGTGCCTGTCACGTGCTTACATAGGACACACGTGCTATGGGTAGGAGCCTGGCAGAGGGAGGCAGTGACACCTCCACCACCCACCCTGAGCGCTGCAGGTACTCACAGGGCTTGTAAGGAGCTCAGCTGGCTGAAGGTGTCTGCTCCAATTTCCCAGATGCGGTTGTGTTGGAGGCCACTAGGGCAGCAAGAGGGGCTGGATGAGTCTGCAGGCCCACACTCTGGCTCTGCTCCATACCCCCCAGCACTGGGAGGAAGAAAAGAGAGCCCCCCACTTCTCTTGGCATGGGAAGAAAGGGCCCAGCCCGCGGAAGTCACCAGAATTAAAGGGAGTACAGGGGGATCCGGTTGCCTTGGGTAAGTGGGTCAGGAGACAAAGCCACAATGGCCCAAAAGGGAGTCAGCTTCCAGTGTCCCCACCAGGCCTGGCTCCCAGCCCAGCTGCCCCCCATACTCCCTTCTGCATGGGTCCTCAGACCCTAGCGAGGCACCAGGGCACCACCCAGCCCTTGGGTAGCCCCAGTGACTTAGGCTGAGCTGAGAAGCAGAGCTCAGTATCCAGGCTGAGGATGGACTCTTGGCCTAGCAATATCAAAGGCCCTTCTTCCACCGTCACCCAGACAAACAGGACAGACCCTGGGGTGTTGTCTCTCTCTCCTGGCCCCCCCAAAGAATTGCCCTCCTAGGTCCCCACCCTGGGAGGCTCAGGAGGCCATGCAAGCTTGAGAGAGCAGGAGCTGGGGGGCAGGACTTAGGATTTTTAAAGTGATCTTTTTCCCTGTGAACTTGGATCCCCTGTGTGACTGTGCGTATCTGTGTTATGTGAGCTCACACATACACGTGTGCGTGTTTAGGGGAGTGTGAAAATAGAGCGTGTGCTCTGAAATGCAGGGAGCTCCAGCTCCTCTGAAGCCTTCTTGTGTCTAGTCCCATGAGCCCTGATGTGGCCCTGTCCCTCCCTTGTCCCTCCCATGGCTGAATCACTGCTGCACTACTGTGTGAGCCTGGGGTCAGGTCCAGGCCTCTGCCAAGCTCCCATCCTTAAACCTTGGGTTCAGCAAACTCCAAGAAGGAGAAAAGTAAGTGTGGTTTCGGCCTTGCTGCCCACCTCCCCTCAGACCTGCCCAGCTCTGGCTTGCTTGCCTTTGTCCCTCCCAGCCCCCAGACTCACATTTCCTCCAACTTCTGACACCTGTGCAGGCTGGGCAGCTCCTTGATCTGATTATGAGACAGCTCCCTGGAGGAGAGAGGAAGGCCAGGGCTGGCTGGAGGGCAGCGGCTGCGAGGGTAGGGGTGGGTGGGGGAACAGCTCTGGCCAGGGCTGTGCTTTCCTGCTTAAGCAGCTGAAGGTCTCGGGGACCCTGCAGGGACACAGCTGTGGATGCCTCTCACTCCACTGGACTTCAATTAGACTTCTCTTCGTGTCCCCCGCTAAGTCCCCTCCTCACTGGGCCTGGGTGGGGCTGGCTGGGCTGGCTGTTTTTCTTCAGTAGGGCTTCCTTTTCGACAAAGCCTGGGGGATGCTGGGAGCATCCCGGGGGAAGTGGACTGCATGCAAGAAGGCATGAGGATAAGAAAAGAGACTGAGTGGGCTGCAGGGAAGGAGACAGCCATACCAGCCCAAGTAAACAGTGCCTATAACCACCGCTTACGGAGTCAGCAGGGCGCTTTGAGAGCATCTGGCCCCACCCTTGCACTTAACAGCTGAGGCACCTAAGGCCCTAGGATGCCCAGTCAGCGGCAAGGCTATGACCGGAACGCACTTTTTCAGACACCCCAGGGACAGCGTACCCATCTCGAACTGTGGGACTCCGGCCCCTAGGGAGGAGTCTCTGATTTAAATTGGAGTCAGGGAGATAAAAAGACTCCCCTTGATCTGCCTTACACGTTGCTTAAGTACCTCCTTCGATCCCAGAAAGAATTAACTTTCTTGTACATATGAGAGTGATCATGCCATTTAGTGGGCACCTACTGTCTTTACACGTATTTTTTCAACCTTCACAAATTTATTTTCATTTTTCAAATGAGGAGACTGAGGTTCAGAGACTTTGAAGAGTGACCCCAAATAAGCACAGCTTGTGAGGGTCCCAATTGGTCCTCAAACCACCCGTGCCTGACTCCAGAGACCAATCATCATCTTTCTGTCTTGAACGGGGGAGGAGATCCCAGCCCCTCTGCAGCAGGTCTCAGCAGAAGCCTGAGATGCTGTGACCAAGTGGAGAGGAGCAGGAGGAGCCTTTTCTGGGGCATCAGGGCAGTGGCGCAATGCCAGGATTGTGGAACGCTTGTGAGCCACTCACAGGACTCGGAGCCTGGGCAGCTGCTGGCACATCCCCGGTGGGAGCAGCTGGATACCCGCGCGGGTCAGGGTCCTGCAGGGAGAACAGAGACAGCTGGCACCAGGCCCAGGGCTCTGTCATTCCCAGCCACCCATCTCCAGCTCTGGACGGATACCGTCCTGGGAGGACAGAGCTGACAAAAGAGAAAAGTGATGGGACAGACAGGGCAGGGCGGGGCTGTGGGGACAGAAAGGAGCAGGCAGCCGCTGGCACCTGAGAGACAAGTGCCCCTGGGCTTGGAAGAGCTGGGGTAGGAGGTGGAGAGAGAGGGCCTCAGCTCTGGGACTCTGCTTGGCAGGCAGACCCTGTGAGCCCAGACCTACCATTTCCCCCCAGCCCGTCACCACCCCAACGCTCATAATGGTCTCCAGCAGCACCGGGCCTGTGGGAGGAGGACTAAATCTCCCATGCTCTAGGGGCCGTAGGGAGGAGGGGTCGTCATGGCAGGGAGTAGACAGAAAAAAGCTGAGTCAGATCATGGGAACAAAGCACAGAGTTTGCTCCCTGTGCCTTGGGGGAGGGAGAAGAGAAGGGAGAGAAAGGAAAGACCCAGGGACTGGGTGGAGAGGGCTGTGGGGGCAGATTGGAGAACGGGCTTGGCTTAAGGCACAGGGTGTCCTAGGAGGGACCCAAGGCCGAGGTCATTCTTGGGGAGCTGCTATTTCTCTCATGGAAAATTTTCCACATGCCAGCAACTCCGGGGGCAACACAATAGAGGCACAGAGCAGAGTTCCAGTCCCAGCAATGCCATGAATGAGCTGTGTGACGTGAGGCAGTGAGCTGACTTCCTGACACTCTGGTATTTGCTTGATTGCTTCATGTATTCACTTAGAATGCACTGAGGGCCTACTGTGCACCACCGCCCCCTTCCCTCTACAGGGCCTGACAGTAGAGAGCCTGAGAAGGGCTCTGTCCGGAGCCTTGGAAGGACAAAGGGGGTAGGTTTTCACAACCTCCCGCCCTGCCTGTGTCTTCAGTGCATGCATGGCCTGGGGTTAGGACCTCCAAGGTCAGACCTGAAAAATCCAAGCGGGGTAAAGGGTGGGGGGCCGCCTCTCAGTCCCCTCCTGCCAGCGCCTGCCGGGCCTGGAGGTAATGCAGCATCAGGAGATGGACCACAGCCAGGAGTGGGCAGCACATCAGGAGGTATAATAGATAATGTGAGATAGGACGAAAGCGGACAAAGAGGACGGGGAAATGAGAGGGGTGGGCAAGGAAAGAAGGGAATGCAATTAATACGAGAAAATGAGAAATAATGGAAACACAGTCTTTGTAGCTAGGGAGGGAGGGGTTGAAAGGAGGGCAGGGGAATGCGGGGGGAACCCCAAGATCGATTATGTAAAGGCACAAATTTCCAACAATGAATGTATATCCATATTGTATACCTTAAATGTACCAATAAAATTAACTAAAAAAAAACTTCATTCAGATGTATCCACAATGCACATTCTTGATATCCACTATAGGAGTCAATGAAATGAAGACATCATGACTCCCATGAGAGCTATAGAGAAACAGAAATTTCATATTTGGCAATACTCTTTGGGTCATGTTTAAGACATATAGGGAGGAGAGTGGACACATAAATGTCATGGGCTGAAGATATTTTAGCACTTCTGTGGACAATAAATTGTGTTCAGTTTAACAATCTGTGTTAGTATAAAGTCAACATATTCTAGGAAAAGGTAAAGGACTCTGACAGTAATTTTGTTATATCAAATAAAACTTTTAAAGATGCACACATTATGAATAAATTTAAAATCTTGTACTTAAAAAAAAAAAAAAGAGGCAGGTCAGAGGAGGGGGACAGCTTTCCTGGATACAGGAGGAGGTGGAAAAGGAGGAGCGCCTGGGTGGAGTTGGGGAGACAGAGCAGGTGGAGGGACAGGGAATCCACTCACAAGATCTCCAGGCTGGTGGTGCCTTTGAGGTCTGGGAATTCCTGGATGTCTGTGGCACCATTCAGGGATCTGGAAACAGAGATGAGCTCGGAGGGTGGGTCAGGGCATCGTGACATCTGGATTCCTGACCCTAAGGACTCTACCTCTCGGGGAAAGTGTCACCTCTCTCCAGCCTCCCCCAAAGCACCAGTGGCCCTGGTGGAGGCTGAGTGGTGCACAGAAGGATCCCAGTAGCCATTTTCTTAGGTTGGCTCAGCCCACCCTAGCCCAGATTAAGCCAGGCAACTTCGGTATCGCAACAGTAAGAACAACAACAAAGACAAAAGGGAATCATGTGTTGAAAAGTCAACAGCACTGCGCTTCTAAAAAAATCCTTGGCTTCTGGGTTTGCTTCTTAGAGTTTAAGATAGGGTCGCTCCTAAATAGCTACTTACTGTGGCTTTATTTGCCCTCATAGTCCTTCTTAAGATCGATGTATTTTTTATTATTTGTTCATTTGTAGAACTGGGGCTAGAACTCAAGATCTTGTGCTTGCCAGGCACACATGGCACCACTGAGCTACATTCCCAGCCTGACTTTTTTTGATTTTTTGAGACAGGGTCTCACTACTAGTTCAGGCTGGCCTTGAACTCATTATGTAACCCAGGCTGGCCTCGCACCCCCGGCAATCCTCTGCCTCAGCTTCCCAAGTGCCGGGATTATAGGTGTGCCCCACTGCTTTAGAGTGATGGTTTTCCCTGTCCACGGTTCCCTATCATAGTGGGGACATGGAGCCTGCACACAGCAGGGCAGCAAACAAACAACACCCTGAGAAGGCAGCAATGTCCAGCAATGCGTCCAGGATCAGAAGTTGGGGACTTGGGTTCATGCCTGGATAGTACCTGAGCACCTCAGGCCCCATCTATAAAATGGGCCAGTAAGAGCCACCCCCTATGACTGGGATGAAGATGGAATCCACTAGGGGACACGAAGCAGGTGCTTTGAAGGTGTCAGCTACGTCACCACGAGACCACAGTGCTGAGAGCAATCCACACATGGTTTTTTGAAGGAGAGGGTCTCAGCCGGGAATTGAAAGACTGAGAGAAAGCACACCTTCAGGCCCAGCGTGTCTTTTTGTTTTGTTTTGTTTTCATTTGGGTACCAGGGATTGAACTCAGGTCTTTGTGTTTATGAGACAGGCGGCAGAACCACTGAGCTAAATCCCTGGCCCCAGGCCGAGTGTGATAAAGGGCACAGTAAAACCCCAGGGAGCTGTGCTCCAGGGCCATCGAGAGCTGACCTTGAAAACACGTGACACTCAGACCCGGGTCAACTGTTCACTCAGCAGGGATGCAAGGGACAGCTTCCATGGGCAGGGTAATCAAAGAAGTCGGATGAAACACCTTGGCCACGGAGAAGGGCCACTGTCCATCTGGGATCTGGGAAGGAGCTGCTGGTTGCGGGGCTGGTGCAAGGTCATTCAGACAGAGCTGGGTACAGATGTGAGGACAGTGGGGGCCGCCTCCCCAGAGGCCATGCTTCCCAGCAGGGCTGTGCATTTCAGGGGAGAGATCTGCGTGCAGAAGGCAGGAGCGAGCAAGCCATGTAGAGGGGAGGCCCAGACTGCGGCAGCCCGCAGGTGACACTTACAGCGTGTGGAGTTTAGGCAGGTACTGGAAAGCCGACCTTCCCACAGACTGGATTGGGTTATCATAAAAGTGTCTAGAAGAAAAGACCCAAACACCTGACTAGGCTTCTTGCTGCTTTCACCTGGAAGCAAGCTGACCACTGCTCCCTTCTCCCAGGGCAAACCCAGGAAGACAGAGAGAGGTGACCCTTGCAACCTCCTGCCTCCCCGGGGGCTTTCTAAGAGCATCCGGCTGCCTCCGGAGCCTCTGTGCTCCTCTTCCCCACAACACACAGCACCAAGAGCCAGAAGCAGCACTCACATCGTCTGCAGCAGAGGGTTGCCCATGAAGGCCTTCTCGGGGATAGCCTTGATGTTGTTGTTGTGGAAGCCCCTGGAAGACAACACCCAGGACTATTGGGGATTTGGGGAGAGGGAAAGACAGAGACATCCTGGGGCTTCCTGACAGCTGACTAAACAGCTGTGGACAAACAGACACCGGCCTGGAGAGTCTGACTCCCGTCCTGCCGGTGAGCTTCCTTCTCTGTCCCGTACCACACAGTCCTTTCTCAAACAAGGGCCACGGAGCCCCAAGCTTCAGGCCTCAGGAAGGCTGAGAGAGCAGCTCAAGGGCAAGGCGTCAAGAGGGGTCCTCTCCTCGGTCCTGGCGGGCAGGAGCCCTGGTGGGTCCCCACAGGGGAAGCCAGGGGTGTGCGGTAGGAAGAGCGCTTCCAGGGGACCCAGGCTGAGGATGTGCCTCAGACGGAGGCTGGCCTGGCCTCAAGGCCTGGAAATGAGGAAGCACAGGACATCCACAGCAGGAGGAGGGTGAAGGGGCAGAATCCGTGACTGAATGACCGTGGGTGGCATACGAGGCGTGTGGAATGAAGGACCCAGCGGAATGTCTGGGGCTGGAAGTCAGGAGCTACGTAAGGGATCACTTGGGAAGAGCATGTTCCGTGCTGAGCTGACAAGGGGGCCCTTCAGTCAGTCTCTTTTTCAGTGGAAGCCTCCGGGTCCCCTTGGTGTCCCCCCAGACACCGCTCACCTCCCTTCTCCTGCGTCCCATCACTGCTTCCACCTTTTGGTTTCTCCCTCACTCCTAAGTTCCCCCTCGGACACCGCCAGCAAATGCCAACCACCTAGGCTGGCTTCTTCCTCCCTTCCTCCCTCCCTCCTCCCGTCCTTCTTTCCTTTCCTTCTTCTCATCCCTCCTTTCTCTCTTCCCTCCTCCCCTCCTCCCCTCCTCTGCTCTTTCTTTTCTTTCTTCTAATGATACATTATACATTTCTGAATTCTTTCTGTCCGGTACTATACCAAGCGCCGAGGGGTTGGGAAGCTTATAAGACAGAGGCCCTGTCCTCAAGAAGCTTTCTCAAAATAGATGACAGACAGACAGACAGACAGATGCACACCTACATACATCCATGTGGAGGGATGGGAGAAAGACACCGCGTGCATACATGGTTATGGGTGCTAGACAGATGCACGCATATACACATATGGGTGGGTGCATGGACAGGTAATGGGTACACGCAAAGTGTGGATAGATGAATGGTGGGTGGATGGGTGGACAGATAGGTACACACACTCTACACGTGCATCCTCCGGCTCCTGCTAACTAGGTCTCTGCTCTCTCTTGCCGAATGCTTTCTTGTTTCCCGTCCTTGGCATACCCTATTCCTTCCATATCCTCTTGAGTGATCAACTATGGTCAAATATTGTCCTTCTTTCACATCTCAGCTCAAAGAACAAATAAAGCCAGACCTCGGTAACACACTGGCATTGGAGAACTTCAATAGTTTCTCACTCAGATCCTTTTCTCTGGCTGGCCCAGCCACTCCTCTTCTGCTCCCTGCACCTGGCCTTCCCACCTTCAAACTTCTGGAAGAGGTAAGGAACAGCATGGGGCTGGCACCCTAGGTCTTAGGTGGTGGTTTGAGTTATGAAGGTTCTGGGCTGTCTGAAAGTTTGTGTCTCATTTCGTAAGTCCTCAGGCCCCCTTAATCTGGCTCCAGTCCAATTTACACTAAATCTCTTACATCCCTATGAGCTTCCACGAGACAGGGACAGTGCTAGTCCCAGGATACCAGAGATAGCTTATGCCATGTGTCTTCCCAGGCTGAAAGGCCCAGGGTCATTTCTGCTGATGACACACTCCCAGGAAATGCTCAAAGCCAAGCTAATGAGGCCTGTGACTACTTAGAGCAGTACTGGGGGCCGAAAAGGGCCCAGAGCTACAACGTTTACAAGAACCATGGGAAGTGAGGAGGTGAGGGAGGCCCAGGCTGGCTTTAGCCCCTGCCCTTGGGGGGAAAAGATACCCACAGAAACCAGCAGGGAGCTTACAGTTCCTGCAGTCTGCCCAGGGTCCGGATGGCCACGGGGAACTCCTGCAGCTCATTATAATTCAGGTCTCTGGAATGGAGAGCAGAGCTGTCATTAGCAGCGCAGAGGCTTAACGGGGCATGTCAGGGACCCTGAGAAATGGAAACTTGGCTCTGGGGTTGGCCAGAGAGATGGGTTTTCCAATCTGTTGGATCCAGCTGCCAATGTCTGGAAACACATTTTTGGAATGCTTGTACTCCATTCCTACTCCACAAATCCTCAGGCTCTGAGGCTTCCTGGCAGGAGAACTGTTTAGAATGGGGGATGTACTTCAGGGCTGTGGATACCTGGAACCGCACCCCTCGGAATAGTCTCCACAAGCTGAGGAAAGTATCTCAGGCCTTTGGAGACAGGAGGGGTGGAGGGAAAGGAAGAATGAGGTGATCTTTAGCATCTTCTAACCAGCATCAAGGATCCCAGAAAGTTCCACCGCTGGCTACCTTGGCTATGGCCTCAGCTGTTGTCCTCTAAAAATATGAACAGTATGCTTTATCTTTGGATAGTAGCATGACTGCCAATCTTTGTTTTCTTTTATGCTTTTCTGCATTTTTCTTTTTTACAAAGAATATATAACATGTGATCAGAAAACAGCAAAGAAGTTTTAAAAGTGGGTAGCAACCCCATTTGGTAAGGTTGTGGGGAAACAGCCTTCTAACAAACTACAAGTGGAAATTTGTATACAACCTTGTAGAAGAAATCTGATCATCTTTTCAAATTAAAACATTCATACACAGACCCTCCAAGTCTAGGACTGTAACCTACAGTAGAGCCTGCACTCATGTGTAAAGATTTTTGTAGAGGGCCAGGGATTTAGCTCAGGGGTGGTACTCCTGCTTCACAAGTGCAAGGTTCTGAGTTCGATCCTCAGTTCTGAAAAGAAAAAAGATCATTGTAGAAAGATGCTCATAACAGTATGGTTTAGGTGCCATTGATGTTGGAGTCCTTGGCCGCCATGACAGGGCAAAGGAAAGGAGGAGAAATAGGAGACGCCAATGGCAAAACTGATTTTCATCAGAAACAAAAAAATTAGAGCTATTCATGACAAATGAGCGCACCAAAGGCAGAGGCAGCCTGTGGGAAGTGGTGGGGGCAGGGCGTTTGAGTTTTTCGGGAGACAATGGAGAGGGACTGGGAGGCAGACAGTAAGAGCTATGGAGAGGTTTTGAAAGTTTCACTCTACACCAGTGACTGGGTTTCCTCTTTGCCCGGGCTGAGACAGACTTCAGAGAAATGGCAACTTTCAAAATATTAAGTTGGCTTTGGTTTTATTCAGTAGCCAGTGAATTAGCCCCATGGGGAAATGTGCCCGACCAGGATGGTCTTGCTGCCTCTAAGATCCTGTTGCTGACAATGACAGTCACAGGCTTTGTCAATGGGGGTGCGTCAGTTCCAGTGTCCCTCTTGAGCCTCCCGGGAGGACCCCAGGGCCCCAGCCCATCTTCTCAACCTTTTAAAGCCAGCCCTACCCTGGCAACTTTAAAGGTTGTCCAGTGCCAGGGCAGGGGGACCACGTGGAGGTCCTTTAGTTCCAAAGAGATTGGCAGGGTTTTATGGATAAATATTATGTTAACACAGAGATAATGACAGGCTCTTCTGCATGACAGGGTCATTACACTTAATAATCCATAGGTAGAGCCAGGAACCCAACCCAAGGGCCAAAGCAGCAGTGACAGGCATCTGGCAGCCAGTGTGCAGGATAATTGTCCCCTTCTACACACACACACACACTAATTATCTGATTACCCTCAGACTGCCCTGGTGATCCTGGTAATTGCAGCTTAAAATCCCTTCTGCTGGGCCCGCTCTGCTTATCCCTTACCGAGCCACACATCTTGGCCTCCCACACATCACACCTTGATTTGGCCAGAGACGGCCCCATAGGCTGGCTGAGGGTAGAGACTGTGCTCAAGCTGAGGCCAGGATGGGTACACAGCGCTCAGATTTAAACCGAGATATCAGAATCAGAAGCAGGAAGGTTTTTACACTTTGGTGCTCCTGGAGTTCTAAGGCTTCAGAAGATGCTGGGAACATCAGGTGGGCAGAGGGGAGAATGGCAGCAGCAGGGGTGAGAGAAATGGGCACTTTTTGGTCTTGAATTATATATGTAATTCCTAGCTCAATCTTTCAAAATCAGGTGTCCCCCTTTTAACTTGGCTCAGTTCCCTTAGGAATTCTCCGCTGTTGCCTGAGAGAATTGCATTTCCCATGACTTAGATGGATGTAACTTCATTCAAAAGCCTTAATATTGAATCATTATCTGAAGGCAGAATATTGCATTAGTCTGGCCTCAGAGCCTTTGCTTGCTATTCTTTCTGGCTATTGTTCTTCCCCCGGAATCTTGTACTTACTTCCTTGCTTTACTTGAGTGCCTGACCAAATTACACCTTATCAAGACCCCCCTCTCTGACCACTTTATTCCAAATAGCACACCTGTCACTTCCTCTTCATTTGCTGGATTAAAAGTGATCACAGGGCTGGAGACATAGCCTCGTGGAAGAGTATATACTTAGTATGCCTGAGGATCTGGGTTTGACCCCAGCATCCCCAAAACACTAAATAAAATGCATCCTATTTTTTAAAAAAGAATCTAAAAAAGTGGCCACAAATCCTTTGCAGCTTTTCCTATCAAAAGAGGGTGTCTGGGGGTGGGGATTTAGCTCAGTGGTTCTGCCACCTGCCTCGCAAGTGCAAGGTCCCAAGTTCAATCCCCAG